AGCAGTGCTGCCAAGAGCCGGGGATTGAGCATGATTTATTAGTCGGGCCTCGGGATGGGGCTGGCGGCTCATGCCAGCCCCATGGCTCCAGTCCCCGATGGCTCCACCTCTTCCAGCTGCAGATCAAGGCAGCTTCCTCCTCATAAATCATCTCTCCCGCAGCAGCAGCTGGGGTGGAAGCGAGCGCGGGAGACGGGCGGGACGGCTCGGGTCGGGCTGGCCATGCCCATGCCCATGCCTATGCCCATGCCCATGCCTATGCCCATGCCCATGCCTATGCCCATGCCCATGCCTATGCCCATGCCCATGCCTATGCCCATGCCCATGCCTATGCCCATGCCCATGCCTATGCCCATGCCCATGCCTATGCCCATGCCCATGCCTATGCCCATGCCCATGCCTATGCCCATGCCCATGCCTATGCCCATGCCCATGCCTATGCCCATGCCCATGCCTATGCCCATGCCCATGCCTATGCCCATGCCCATGCCTATGCCCATGCCCATGCCTATGCCCATGCCCATGCCTATGCCCATGCCCATGCCTATGCCCATGCCCATGCCCATGCCCATGCCCATGCCCCTGCCCTGCGCGGGGCCCCGCGGGCTCCCCAGCCCCGCACCGGGGGGAAGGGCCGGCGCGCCCCTCGAGCCCCAGGGGCAAGCGCGCGCTGCCCCGCGCATTGTGACACCCGCCACGGCGCCCCACCTGTGTATCCTGCCACGCGGGGGGGTGATGTCATCACAAAGTAGTCCCGAGTTGGAGCAGGGCCTGCTTTTAGTTAGGACAGAAGTAAAATCCGTACTTCGAAGGCAGACAGGATGGCTCACCAGGGAGGACTGCTTCAGAAGTCATGTTACAACCTATAAAGACATGCTGGGCGGAAGAAACCTGATTTCCATAGGTCCAGGGGGACTGGCTGAGAGCCTGTGTTGCTCTTAGCCATTAATAGCGTGACAGTAACACACAAAGGTCCTGGCAAACCTGAAGCCTCCCTGTGCTAGGGGCTGTCCAGACACACAAAGGACGCTCCCTGCTCCCAGCAGCTCAGGAAACGCAGAAGACGGGAGGAGGGAGGAAGACGATATTGTCTCCATTTTGACAACAGAAAAGCAAAAGATGGCAAGATTAAGCGACTCCACCAAGGTTAGACAGTGAATCTGTGGCAGAACGAGAACTGAACCCAGCTCTCCTGAAGCACAGCCCAATGCCTTAACCAAAAGGCCCTTCTCCCCATGTTCTTTCCTCTGCTGAAACCTCCCACCACGCCCATTAACACCTACCTGGAAAGAGCAGGCGTTGCATGCCAAGCTCCATTTTCTCATTCTGGGGAAGGGGAGAATCATCTCCTTTCATGCCAGCTCTGTTAGATTCTGGTAGTACGGGGCCAGTGCTGCAATGCTACATCCAGCCAGACAGGAAAGTAAACAAAGGGAGGCTTAGTATATGAATAAGAAGTTGATCTGGAGTAGTTTCCCCCTAGCCTTCTCCCAAAGCTACCCCCCGCCCTCTCATTTTCCCTTCTCCCCTACTCCCACCCCATCACTACAGGACTTTAGGCCAGGCTGAGATTTCATTAGCCTCTGGGTTTAAGGCTTTTTGCTCTGATTAAAAGTGTTGTCAGTGCCTGAATATGGTGCATCAAGTGGGGTATCACAACTGCTTGGCTATGCCAGCACATGCTTGAACTCTTGCAGCCCTGAGCCTGCAGAGGTGACCAAGGAGAAACTCCACTGCTGCTCCATGACCCAGGCAGATATTTCTCCCTCCTTGCTCCACAGGAAATCTCTTCCTTTGGCCTGCACACACACAAGTGGATACATGAATCTGCTTATTGCACATGCAAATATCCAGAAATGTTGCATGCATAAAATGAGCTAATATGTGCATGCAGTCATGGCATTTTCATGCCCAGTCAGACATACATTTTGCATAGGCAATTGCTCTTGCAGCTAGAAGTCAGGAGCCAGGCACATGCGGTTTGTTTTAAAAATGCACAAAGTGCTTACCAGCAAAAGCAGCAGGGTGCCGTCTACAACTGCTTAAAGTGACATGAAGTTACCCACAAGGGCCACGTGTTCAGGAGGAGATAAGGTTTAGTGGCAGAGGAAACAGGTTAAGTACTCAGGAAAGACAGAGTATCTCTGTACAAACTTGCCCATCAACAAACAAGACGCAGGTAAAAGCATCACTGGGAATCAAACTGTTTCAATGCAGGACTGAGGGTGAAATAAACATAACTGTGAAATAATATTCACTTGGCTGACCCCTGACAGACCTTATGCAAGGTCTGAACCCAGGGTCTCCGATGTCTGAAACATGATTAAGTCCAAGCACAGAACCCTGAAGCCTCCTGCTCAGCTGCCACCTAATCCTGGAAGCAACTAAGCTGCACACGGGCATCTCTCCTTTGGTCCTGAAAGCTCCTCAGGCACCTAGATCTGTGCCTCTGCACATGCCCACAACTGTCCCGGGCTGAGCAGCTCAGCCCAGCGCACACCTCCGCCAGGTTGGGACCCCTGGACAGGGCAGTCTGTTGCCATCTTGACTAAGGGGTGGAATCTGGTACCTTGCCTAGCACACACTGACGGGATCAAGTGCCTCACAAAAACGTAGGCATGACCATCGCTCTTTTTCCTATCTAATCCCCTTTTTAGATAGTACCTTAGTGCTTAAGGCCAGGCAGTGAGAGAGAGAAGTGGAAATCCACCCCCCAGCCTGAGGGAATTCAAACCACCATCTTGCTCGTGTCCCCAATCACCAGGCTGTGCACCATTCTGGATGGGGACACTCTCCACCCCACCCCTGCTCTTATATTGCAGAAGGGAATGCAGGACAAATTTGGCCAGAGGAAGAGTGTAAGAGTGAGCAGGACTTTAGTTTGCACTAAACAGTAGTTGGGTAAAAATACTGAAACGGTCCTGGGAAAAGGAACCAGAACCCTGGATCCCCATCCCCTGAGTGCTCTGCTGACGAAGCTAAAGGGCCGTGTAAAAAACTAAGACACAAAAAGAAGGTCTTAGGAATCTAAATTGGGACTTTTGTGGAATTCAGGCACAGCTTCAACAGGCAATTAGTATCTGGGCCTCTGGCTTCCAAGTTCCTTAACCACCAGGCTATTATATAAGGCAGGGGCCAGGGGCCGGGACACAACCCATCTTGTTTTTGCAAGACAGAGAAAGCCTTGCTGTTTTTTCAAACAAATTGTAAGTGCCCATTGTCAAGAGAAGGCTCTGGGCAGCAGAGCTCAGCTGGACACCAGAGTTTCCCCATAACCCTGAGTGAGGTGCTGAAGTCACAGAAAGAGGCAAGGTCCACTGTCCTCAGCACCTGCCTTGCAGGCATGTTATGGGTCATAGTTCTCACTGCGAGACCCCTCAAGCTGACAGATGCCATCTACTTGGCCCCTGTCATACAGTCCTTAATCACGCAGGTAGACATGACTCAAAGGAGTGGGCTCATTCTACAGTAGGATAATTTGCATGGGTGCCTATTACAAGACTAAGCTCTATATTTCTACTGTAGTCAGGGGGCAATAAGTTGATAAGATGCAGCTAATCAGAGTGGCCTTCAAGGGAAATTATTTGTTCCTTTTGCTTCTTTCATTATGCATGACAGTCCTAATGGTTGTGTTTTTCCTTCCTTCCTTTTCTTTTTTTTTTATGCATTAGATCATAACATTCAGGGCTTTGCTAACCCAGAAAATTGTCTGGTAGGATTATGATATTACAGATACCAATGAAATGATACCTGATTTATCTGGACTGTTTTAAAACATGTTTTCATCTACGCCTATTTAATGTCAATGCCTAACAGATGGAAGAGAGCACTCTCTGAAATATTCAGCACCTCCAACTCTTTGATTAACAGCTGAGATAGACGTGCCTCTGAAATTCCCAACGAGACCAGCTTTAAACTCTCACGTTATCTCTAAGCTTATATCAAATATAGGCAGAAATTCTCTTGAAATAAAAGCTTCCTCCGCAAGCCATCCATGTACAACTAATTTTCCATGTTTCACAGGACGTCTTTAGAAGCACTGAATTTACATCTTCTGAATGCTTTAAATGACATATTTGTACAGTCCATCTCCATCAGTTACTTGTGTGCAGCTAACAGATGGTGCTTTCTCTATAGGGAGGGACAAGCAGTGCAATGGAGATGGACAGTGCTGCACAGTGAAACCATCATAAGGCATGTGTGCATGAACATGTGTAAACATACTTGAATATATATACAAGTACATGAATGCCTTTGGGCTGAACCTAAGCATGGAAAGTTTCAACCCATATCCTCTCCAGGGGAGGCCAGGTACAGCTAGAATCTATTTCTTGCAGGCTATTACTTTTAGAAGTATCTGCAAGATATCTTCAAAGAAAGCCTCCCCAGTTGATCAAA